CTCAGTGTATATACACTGAGATATACACCTCTCAGTGTATATACACTGAGATATACACCTCTCAGTGTATATACACTGAGATATACACCTCTCAGTGTATATACACTGAGATATACACCTCTCAGTGTATATACACTGAGATATACACCTCTCAGTGTATATACACTGAGATATACACCTCTCAGTGTATATACACTGAGATATACACCTCTCAGAGTATATACACTGAGATATACACCTCTCAGTGTATATACACTGAGATATACCCCTCTCAGTGTATATACACTGAGATATACACCTCTCAGTGTATATACACTGAGATATACACCTCTCAGTGTATATACACTGAGATATACTACACCTCTCAGTGTATATACACTGAGATATACACCTCTCAGTGTATATACACTGAGATATACACCTCTCAGTGTATATACACTGAGATATACACCTCTCAGTGTTTATACACTGAGATATACACCTCTCAGTGTATATACACTGAGATATACACCTCTCAGAGTATATACACTGAGATATACACCTCTCAGTGTATATACACTGAGATATACACCTCTCAGTGTATATACACTGAGATATACACCTCTCAGTGTATATACACTGAGATATACACCTCTCAGTGTATATACACTGAGATATACACCTCTCAGAGTATATACACTGAGATATACACCTCTCAGTGTATATACACTGAGATATACACCTCTCAGTGTATATACACTGAGATATACACCTCTCAGTGTATATATACTGATATATACACCTCTCAGTGTATATACACTGAGATATACACCTCTCAGTGTGTATACACTGAGATATACACCTCTCAGTGTATATACACTGAGATATACACCTCTCAGTGTATATACACTGAGATATACACCTCTCAGAGTATATACACTGAGATATACACCTCTCAGTGTATATACACTGAGATATACACCTCTCAGTGTATATACACTGAAAGTATTCTGAATTAAATACTCAGTAATTCGTTGAAAAAAGCGTTTCTAACATACTGTACAAAGACAACCTGTGTTCTGTACCCTGTATCCTGTATCCTGTACCCTGTACCCTGTATTTTGTACCCTGTATCGTGTACCCTGTACCCTGTATCCTGCACCCTGTATCCTGTACACTGAACCCTGTATCCTCTATCCTGTACCCTGCATCCTGTATCATGTACCCTGTACCCTGTATCCTGTACCTTGTATCCTGTATCCTGTACCCTGTACTCTGTATCCTGAACTCTGTATCCTGTATCCTGTACCCTGTGTCCTGTACCCTGTACCCTGTATCCTGCATCCTGCATCCTGTAACTTGTACCCTGCACATTGTACCCTCTACCCCGCATCCTGTATCCTCTACCCTGTATCCTGTATCCTGCACCCTGTATCCTGTACCCTGTATCTTGTACCCTGCATCTTGTACCCTATGCATCGCATCCTGCATCCTGTTCAATGTATCCTGTATCCTGTACCCTCTGTCCCGTATCTTGTACCATGCATCCTGTACCCCGTATCCTGTATCCTGTACCGTGTATCCCGTATCCTGTATCCTGTACCGTGTATCCCGTATCCTGTATCCTGTTCCGTGTATCCCGTATCCTGTATCCTGTACCGTGTATCCTGTATCCTGTATCCTGTACCGTGTATCCCGTATCCTGTATGTTGTACCGTGTATCCCGTATCCTGTATGTTGTACCGTGTATCCCGTATCCTGTATCCTGTACCGTGTATTCCGTGTCCTGTATCCTTTACCCTGCATTCTCTACCCTGTATCCTGTACCTGTACCCTGTATCCTGTATCCTGTATCCTGTATCCTGTACCCTGCATCCTGTATCCTGTACCCTGCATCCTGCATCCTGTACCCTGCATCCTGTATCCTGTACCCTGCATCCTGTATCCTGTACCCTGCATCCTGCTATCCTGTACCGCACTGCATCCTGTCCTGCTCCGTATCCTGTACCCTGCATCCTGCATCCTGTACTCATCTGTATTCTGTACCCTGCATCCTGCATCCTGTACCCGCATCCTGCATCCTGTACCCTGCATCCTGTATCCTGTACCCTGCATCCTGCATCCTGTACCCTGCATCCTGTATCCTGTACCCTGCATCCTGTATCCTGTACCCTGCATCCTGTATCCTGTACCGCATCTGCATCCTGTACCTGCATCTGTATCCTGTACCTGCATCCTGTATCCTGTACCCTGCATCCTGTATCCTGTACCCTGCATCCTGTATCCTGTACCCTGCATCCTGTATCCTGTACCCTGCATCCTGTATCCTGTACCCTGCATCCTGTATCCTGTACCCTGCATCCTGTATCCTGTACCCTGCATCCTGTATCCTGTACCCTGCATCCTGTATCCTGTACCCTGCATCCTGTATCCTGTACCCTGCATCCTGTATCCTGTACCCTGCATCCTGTATCCTGTACCTGCACTGCATCTGTACCTGATCCTGTACTGTACCCTGCATCCTGTATCCTGTACCCTGCATCCTGTATCCTGTACCCTGCATCCTGTATCCTGTACCCTGCATCCTGTATCCTGTACCCTGCATCCTGTATCCTGTACCCTGCATCCTGTATCCTGTACCCTGCATCCTGTATCCTGTATCCTGTACCCTGCATCCTGTATCCTGTACCCTGCATCCTGTATCCTGTACCCTGCATCCTGTATCCTGTACCCTGCATCCTGTATCCTGTACTGATCCTGTATCCTGCATCCTGTACCTGCTCCTGTACCTGTACCCTGCATCCTGTATCCTGTACCCTGCATCCTGCATCCTGTACCCTGCATCCTGTATCCTGTACCCTGCATCCTGTATCCTGTACCCTGCATCCTGCATCCTGTACCCTGCATCCTGCATCCTGTACCCTGCATCCTGTATCCTGTACCCTGCATCCTGCATCCTGTACCCTGCATGCTGTATTCTGTACCCTGCATCCTGCATCCTGTACCCTGCATCCTGCATCCTGTACCCTGCATCCTGTATCCTGTACCCTGCATCCTGCATCCTGTACCCTGCATTCTGTATCCTGTACCCTGCATCCTGCATCCTGTACCCTGCATCCTGTATCCTGTACCCTGCATCCTGCATCCTGTACCCTGCATCCTGTATCCTGTACCCTGCATCCTGTATCCTGTACCCTGCATCCTGTATCCTGTAGCCTGCATCCTGTATCCTGTACCCTGCATCCTGTATCCTGTAACCTGCATCCTGTATCCTGTACCCTGCATCCTGTATCCTGTACCCTGCATCCTGTATCCTGTACCCTGCATCCTGTATCCTGTACCCTGCATCCTGTATCCTGTACCCTGCATCCTGTATCCTGTACCCTGCATCCTGCATCCTGTACCCTGCATCCTGTATCCTGTACCCTGCATCCTGTATCCTGTACCCTGCATCCTGTATCCTGTACCCTGCATCCTGTATCCTGTACCCTGCATCCTGTATCCTGTACCCTGCATCCTGCATCCTGTACCCTGCATCCTGTATCCTGTACCCTGCATCCTGTATCCTGTACCCTGCATCCTGTATCCTGTACCCTGCATCCTGCATCCTGTACCCTGCATCCTGTATCCTGTACCCTGCATCCTGTATCCTGTACCCTGCATCCTGTATCCTGTACCCTGCATCCTGTATCCTGTACCCTGCATCCTGTATCCTGTACCCTGCATCCTGTATCCTGTACCCTGCATCCTGTATCCTGTACCCTGCATCCTGTATCCTGTACCCTGCATCCTGCATCCTGTACCCTGCATCCTGTATCCTGTACCCTGCATCCTGTATCCTGTACCCTGCATCCTGTATCCTGTACCCTGCATCCTGTATCCTGTACCCTGCATCCTGTATCCTGTATCCTGTACCCTGCATCCTGTATCCTGTACCCTGCATCCTGTATCCTGTACCCTGCATCCTGCATCCTGTACCCTGCATCCTGTATCCTGTACCCTGCATCCTGTATCCTGTACCCTGCATCCTGTATCCTGTACCCTGCATCCTGTATCCTGTACCCTGCATCCTGTATCCTGTACCCTGCATCCTGCATCCTGTACCCTGCATCCTGTATCCTGTACCCTGCATCCTGTATCCTGTACCCTGCATCCTGTATCCTGTACCCTGCATCCTGCATCCTGTACCCTGCATCCTGTATCCTGTACCCTGCATCCTGTATCCTGTACCCTGCATCCTGTATCCTGTACCCTGCATCCTGTATCCTGTACCCTGCATCCTGCATCCTGTACCCTGCATCCTGTATCCTGTACCCTGCATCCTGTATCCTGTACCCTGCATCCTGTATCCTGTACCCTGCATCCTGCATCCTGTACCCTGCATCCTGTATCCTGTACCCTGCATCCTGTATCCTGTACCCTGCATCCTGTATCCTGTACCCTGCATCCTGTATCCTGTAACCTGCATCCTGCATCCTGTACCCTGCATCCTGTATCCTGTACCCTGCATCCTGTATCCTTTACCCTGCATCCTGTATCCTGTACCCTGCATCCTGTATCCTGTACCCTGCATCCTGTATCCTGTACCCTGCATCCTGTATCCTGTACCCTGCATCCTGTATCCTGTACCCTGCATCCTGTATCCTGTACCCTGCATCCTGCATCCTGTACCCTGCATCCTGTATCCTGTACCCTGCATCCTGTATCCTGTACCCTGCATCCTGTATCTTGATCCAAAATCTGGTATTCGGCTCTACGTTTGATATGCAAATGACCTCTAAGACCATCTTTAAATACGATTTTTTAAACGAAATTTGTTCTCTGCTGCAGAATCTATTGAAAAATTATATATATATATATATATTATATATATATATATAATATATATATATATATATATATATATATATATATATAATATATATATATATATATATATATATATCTTTCTAATGTCTGTTTATCTCTGTCTCTCTTCATGCACCTCAGGAGAAAGCTGGGGTAGGTACTGAACCAGATCA